TATTAATATTTGTACATGTACACAGTAGCTCTTTCGATCTTCCTCTTTCCTTATAAATGTAACATCACATACATGTAATCTATGCTAACAGACTTGTACATTACAGATTGCATGCACTTATAACTCTCTTCTATACCCCTCCCAATCCTTCTCCCTCCCACATGTATTATAATAATTAAAAGCAAAGTATATCTTTTATTCATTGTATATCTTTTGCATCTTTATATCATTATATCTAATATATAATATATATACATGTATATCAACAGTGTCACTGTGTTAGACTAATTATTATCTTATATGATACTATACTCAGTGTAGCCTTCTACTCTAGATTCTTAATATCAGGTGGATATTTGCTTCTAAGCCCTGAAGAGTAATGATTTATTGCTTGAATACACTTAGACCAATACAGCTAAAATTCTTCCTTTGTACTAATATCACGTGGATGGAATAATCCCAGTAGCTTCTGCTTCAGCTCCATTAGAGCACCAGATGGCAAAGGAGGGTTCTGCTTCTGCCAATACACACTACGTTTAATCAAAAGTGATGGTCCAAAGTAAACTTTGCTAGCTAGTCTTACAGATGATTGTCCAACTTGAGAGAGTGTCTTCAGTTTGGGATATTTATTAATCACAGTATCAGGATTCAACAAAGGAGCATTAAAATCTATTTTCCTTCTATTACCAGTGTGCACAGTAGTATTGGTGATGATTGCCTTTACTGGCTCATTAGTTGGAGTTACTTGATCAGTATGCTGAGGTAGATTACAAGCAGATGGGGCACTAGGAGTACTTCCATTACTGTTCATGTATGTAGCAGAGTACCTGCCTAGAATATTAATAGGATATTACTAATCTCTAATAATTATTACTGAATACTAACCCTTGTGTTCATGCCGGGCTAGTATTTCCAAAGAAATGGTATGTTAAGCAACCCAATTGGGATGGCACCATGATACTCTGTTCTTCTAAAATTTCCATTCTTCTAATTAGAGACAGTATATAACCTCTAAACAAAACAACATTAATTGTTTGTTATAATCAAGTAATATGTTATTAATGTTACTAAATTTGTACAGGTACTTGTAAAACAATTCACCTGTTTCTGTACTACATGCAGCTTGAGTTTTAAGCTCCACCAGTGCAAGTGGTGGTGGAAGTGGTGGAGGGCTATGACAAAGAATTCTTTCACTGGAATCTGCCTCTTTTCTCTCTGAAGGTTTTCTTGCTTCTAATAATAACAAGTAAAACAATAGTAATAATTATTATTATATTTAATCTTACCGATACTAATATGCTTAGA